GGTGGGACAGCTCTTCTGCTCTGTGCAAATCTGCTGTTCTACATGTCAAAGGTCTGATCCAGCATAGCTTTAAAGGGGGGGAGGGGGTGGCCAAGAGGGAAAGAGAAGCACAGAAAACAATACGGACCAAAGGGAAGAGACTCACCCCAACTGAAATTCAAACTAGAAAACAGCAAACTGATCAGTCAGGTATATTTTTATTGGTAAGCCCACAACCAGCTTATCAGCTCTGTCTGGGTTTCTGGCCATCAATTTTGTCCATGTGAAGTGCTTTACGAATTCAAACTAATTTTGAATGCCAAAAGTCATTGGTTAAAATATCACCATTTAGTGAGGAGGAAGAAAATAGAGCATATGAAAAACCTCTAAATATTATGAATTTTAAAGAGCTGGGGCTCCGGTTTCTTTAAGAGTCACTGAGGCATTTAAACACCGATTCTGATTATGTAAAGGAGAGCGTCATTTAGACCAGGGCTTCTCCAAGTGTGGCCTGAGGTCTGGCGGCATCAGCATCACTGGGCTGCTTGTTAGAATGCAAATTCTCAAGGCTCAACCCTGATCCATGAAATGAAAATCATTGAGGGTGGAGCCCGGCAGCCGGTTTTAAGAAGGTCTCCAGATGATTCTTTTTGCACTGAAGTTTGCAAAACACTGATTAACACTATCATGTGTCAAACTGCAGATTACAACCCATTAGTGGGTTGTAAAACCAGTTCAGTAGGCAGTGACCAGCATTTTACAAAGGTGAAATGGAATAAGATAGAAAATGGAGCGCATCCCATGTAGCATGGGCATCATCTCAAACAACTGGTTTCAGGTCTATATATGTGTGTACACCCATGTGTACCTGTTTAAATGAAGCAGCACTTTTAATTTTTGAAGAACTGGTAGAGTACAATAAAGAAACTACAAGTTTTAAATTAAGTCAAAACTGGTTGACAATAAAACACACTGACAGCTTAATGTGGAATCCTATTTGGAGAGAGGTTGAGGAGAGAGGGAAGAGGGCCTAGGAAAGAACATAGCAGGCCAAAGTTTTATAACTCCAGAATCCTCCTGGGGAAAGAAACAAAAAGTCCCACCCAGGGAGGAAATGGAAGGGGCATCTACCACAGGGGAGATGTCAAGGAGGCTAAGTACAAGATGAGGTCATGTGTAACCTTCAAGAAATGATCATTTAAGTAGGAAATTCATTCACTCATTTATTCATTCACAGATAATTTATTGTACCATCACAGGTGCCAGGCACTGTTAGATGCTGGGGGTACAGATGTGAGGCCTATCATGCACTGCATTGTTTAGTGACAAGCAAGAAGATCAATAATAATAATAGCACAATCAGTGCTGTGAAGGAAGTATTAACACAGCAGTGAGTGAGAATACTGAAGTCAGCCTGTGACAATGAGGTGACGGGACATCCATATGGAGAGGGTATTAAATGAAAATGATGAGAACATCTTAACATGGTATTCTACTTAAAACTCATCAGTGATTCTCTAGATCAGTGGTTCTCAAATGTCAGCATGCATCAGAAGCCGTTAGAGGGCTTGCTCAAGCACTTTTTGGTTTAGTAGGCGTGGGGTGGGGGTCTGAAAATCTGCCTTTCTGATAAGTTTCCAGGCAACGCGGATATTGTTGACCTGGGAATCATATTTTTGAAGATCACTGATCTAAATGACTGAATTAAGAGTTGTGCTAGATGGTGTTTCTAGAAGAACAATTTAAAACAGATAGAATTTAGATGATTCACGTGCACACACAAGAATTAATTTTTCTTTACTACATTATGATGGCTTAGTAACAATAGCTGTCACTAGAAAATTTTCATATAACAATTTTTGTTGTAAAAAGTTTTACTAAGATTTAATATTCAGTTTAGATATTTGACAGTCAGACAACTGTTCCTGTGTGTGGCAAAGGCTTGCTAAAATGACTTCCTTTTCTCTCTGGGCGCACACATAAAACCACATTTCCTGACCCTTTTGCAGTTAGGTTGGACCATGTGACTGATTCTGCCAACACGGAAAGTGGGCAAAACAACTCTTACAGGCTTGGCCAAGACTTCTTTCACTATCTGCCCTTTTTCTTTGGCCAGCCAGGTACACAGGATTTAGTGGAGGACTCTGTGAGGGGTCTGAGGGCCATCAGATAAGAGTCTCTGAGTCACCACTTGGAGAAGACACCCCCCGAGTTGCCACTGAAGAGGGGAACCATTTGGGGAGAGATGAGACGGTGTACCAGGTGAATCTGCAGTGTGCTTTCGCTGCATTAAGGCACTGAGGTGTAGAGGTTTGTTTCCACTGCCTAGCTTAGCCTGCCCTAACGCTGTGCCTGGCACTGAGGAATACAAAACATTGATCTGTGAGCTGAATGAATTACAACTTCAATTTTTATTTTCTTATGTCTAACATTGAGCCTGTAATTGGCCTTCTCACCAATTATTTAACAAATACTTACCTAGAGGCTACTGTGTGCCAAGCATTGCAATGGTGAGCAAAAACCACATGCTTTCCATGCCCTCATGGAGCTTACAGTCTTGTGAGGAATGGATCTATATCAAACAATCACTCAAGGAAATGTAAAATTCCAGCTGTTGTGAGTGATGTGATAGCTGGAAACCTGGCATTAAAAGGGGATTTTTTTTCCCAGTTAGGAATAAATGTTGAGCACTTTCAAGGTGTAATTGCCATTTGGTAAAAATGATTTAAAAATATAACTAAGTTTGAATGTGATAAAGCAAAATATAACTAAATCTGTATACAACTAAGAGTCACGGGTTTTATTGTTAAATCTTTCCACTTAATAGTTTCAACTAGGGATTTGCTCCAAATTATAAACTTCTAAAATGCATGTATAAGAATTTAATGATGAGTGTGAAACTATCATTTGTTAGCTCCTAAGACACTTGCAAATATATTTTTACTCCTTTTTTTTAAATTGTAGTGTTTGTTACTTTTCTCTATTAGCAATAAGTTCTTACTGTATTGGTAACAAATTCCTGCTGAACCAGAGTTTTACACAGAAGGCCTCCTTCAATAAAAGTTAAACCAGATCGAATCATTAAATACCTTCTTGAATTAGAACTCGTCATTCTGGTAACCCCCTTGGCCTTTCAAACTTTGCTTACCAAGCAAATGCTGCTTTCAGCAAGCTCATACATGGGATGAAACTATTTTAGATTTGCAGTGAGCAGCTTTGTGTTTCCGCTCCCAGATACACAAATATATATCTTATATATATTTTTGATATATTATGATATATATACATACACACAATGCATATACATATCAACATCTATACATATATTCATCACTTCTGTTTAAAAACTTAATCCTCATAATTGAAAGAGTGATGAAAATCATTACATAAATGACTCATTCCACATATGGAAAAAAGACAAAGATTTTATTTCTGTAGTTTGTACAAAAAACACCAGTTGCTATTATGTTCACACAGAAGGCACTTTAGGTATTTTCAAATGGTTGAGTCAGAACAGGCGTCCACTGGATATCCAGACCACGCTCTGCCAGCAAGATATACCACAGTCAAGAATGGACTGAGGAGGATTTTATTAAATTCCATTTGAGAGAAATTATAGGATTTTAAAGCTGCAGATGTCCTAGAGATGTAATACAAATGTCACAGGTAAGGAAGCTAAAGTCCAAAACGGTAAAAGAATTTGTTCACTACACGTAATTTAGTCTTGGTCCCAGACCTAGACTCCAGGTCTCCTAAACCGGGTGCAGCTTTCTCTGCACCACAGTTTTTGCCCAACAACTGAAGGTCTGGCTGGATTATCTCTGGTTCTTCCAACACTATGCTGCCTCCATGGTCAGAGAGTTTTATGGGATAGGTCTAATTCAAATCTGTCTTCTGCCTTCTTGGTTATTTCTCTTGTGTTCTCAGTTCTCAGTCTTTTATCATCAGCACTGCTAACCTTCTGGTTTATTTAAAAGACACACCGAGTAACACCAACGAGGAGGTTAACACCCACCCAATCTGAATGGCTGGGACACGGGACCCAGCCACGCCCAGCCCCAGCCGGGAAAAGGTGAAGGGGCAACACGGTCTTCTCCAGCGTCCGACCACACGTGCCACGGCTGGAGGAGCGGCTGCCGTCCCTCCAATCCGCTTAGGCCCCGAGGTGGAAGAGGGGGCGCGCCCTGGGTAGGGGCGGGGCCAGCCACCTGTCCATCACCGAGTCCGCGGGTGGCAGCACCTACCACACCGCGGTACCTTGGCGAGGCGGGGCCGGGGCGGGAGGGCCGCGGCCGGGGGAGGCGGGGCCAGGCTAGCGGGAGCCAATCCGCTGGGCGGCGGGAGGGGGCGAGGGCGGGGTCATCGCGCGCAACCCAAACACACGGGCCGGGGCGCACCCTGGAGCCGCGCCGCTCCTCGGCCTTCCGGTGCGAGGGCCGGCAGCCTCCTCTCCTCCAGAGCACCCCCTCCCACCTTCGCGGCCCAGACCCCCGCCCCCCCACCACACCGCGGCCCCTCCTCCGCGGGGGAGTGCGCGGCGACGGTTGCCGGGAAGCGCGCGCCGCCCCTCCCTCCCCTTCTCCGTCCTCCACTCACGCGCCACCCGTTTCTCCTCTTTCTCCGTTAATAACAGCTGGGTGGCCGCGGGAGGAGGGAAGGTGGCCCCGGCGGCGTCTGGGCGGGCGCCTCCCACTCACCCGCGAGCCGCCGTGGGAGCAGGAGGATGGCGGCGGTAGCAGCGGCCGCCCGGGAGGAGGCGGTGCCGAGAGCCGGGGCGCAGAGCGCGGCGGTGGCGGCAGAGAGCGGCAGCGGCCCGTCGCGGCGCACCAGAACCGAAACCAGCGGCCGCCGCGCAGCCACCTGAGCCGCCCCTCCCGCCAGAGCCAGCGAGCGGCGCCCGCCGGCGCCGGCACCTCCTTCCTCCCCGCCTCGCCTCGCCTCCCGCGCCCCCCGTCAGGCCGCCGACCTCGCCGCCGTCGCCCCCGAGAAGGAGAGCGCGCCGGGCGCCGACCGCCCCTCGGGGCGCCGGGTGGCGGCCCTGGACGTGCGGGCGGCTCTCTGGGCCGGCCGCGGCGCCTCGGCCCTGCCCTCTCGCTCCCGCGCTCGCTCCCGCCCTCCCGGCGCTCCGGGAGCTGCGCGCGGGCCCGGCCCGGGGCAGGGCAGACATGGGCGCCAAGCAGAGCGGCCCGGCCGCGGCTAACGGCCGCACTCGCGCGTACTCGGGCTCGGATTTACCTTCCAGCAGCAGCGGAGGGGCCAATGGGACCGCGGGCGGCGGCGGCGGCGGCGGGGCCCGGGCCGCGGCCGCGGGGAGGTTTCCGGCTCAGGTGCCCGGCGCGCACCAGCCCAGCGCCTCGGGCGGCGCCGCGGCGGCCTCGGCTGCCCCGCGCAGCCGCTCCCTCGGCGGGGCCGGGGGGAGCGTGGCGTCGGGGGCCCGCGGCGCGCAGTCCTCCTTCAGCATCCCCAACAGCAGCAGCGGCCCGTACGGCTCGCAGGACTCGGTCCACAGCAGCCCCGAGGACGGCGGCGGCGGCGGCAGGGACCGGCCGGCCGGCGGGGGCCCCGGCGGGCCGCGCCTGGTGATCGGCTCCTTACCAGCTCACCTCTCGCCGCACATGTTTGGAGGTACGGCCCCCTCCCTCCCCGCTCCCCGGGTCCCTGCCTCCCGCGGGCGGCACGTGGGCCACGGCCGCGCCGGCTTTCCCCCTTCCCTGCTGCAGCCCGAGCGCCGGGGGCTGCCGCGCGGCCCACCCAGCCGCCCCTCCGGGGAGGAAAATTGACGCTTAACCCTGGCGGCGCCGCTCCCGCCTAGACCCTGGTGTTTGATTTTTTAAAAGCACGGTGTGCACCCTCACCCCATAGCGGCTCCCCAGTAGAGAAAGTCTTTATTTTCCCCAGGAAGGGAATGGAGTAAATATATTGTTTTAAAACAAGCCGACGCAACAGCCCTCGTGCTTGTGGCTTTTGGTATCAGGAAGTCAGGAGAAAACCCATTGCTGAAATGTCGTTCTATCTGGAGACTCGAGTGGTGAGCCGTTTTTAAAGGCCAGAAGTCAGAGGGTCTCAGTGAACGTAGGAGTATTTGAAAAAGGAGGCGCTTGTCTCCTTTGGACTGACTGTTAATATGAAACTGTAGTTCCGAAGTCTGTGTAAATAGTCCCACCTACCACAGATACTTTAATTGGACGAATGTGTTAATGAATAGTGTATTTTTAAGCCCAGTAAACTGCAACTTTAGATAATGGTTAATGTGAGTCCTGCTTCATTTGGACAGAGCGTCTAAAAAGTTGAAAACAGTTTCTTAAGGAGAGAAACTAATAATTATCACAACCCTGCCTGCAAGATGCAGCAAAAGCCCAGGCACTTTTGAAAAGCAGTGTTGGCCAGAGTTCAGGAGAAGTCACTTGTGAAAAATGGAAATTTTTAATGGCAAAATGATGTGCTTTTATGTAGAAACAGGAGGGAGGTGCACTTGGTTTGAGGAAAATGAACTCAACCTCTTCGATTGTGTCTTATGGTGATAATCTTTACCTCAAAACAGCTAATAGTCGATAAATCAAGACACCTCTCCCTTTCCAGTTCTTGCAAAGAAACAGAAGTTAAATATAGTTAGAGATGTTGACTATAGAAGATAAACATTCCTATGTCATTGCATTATGTATCGTGATGTTACGTACATTTACAGTTGAGCACAGATGAACAGTGAAAACACCATCCCCTCCATTTTTGTGCCCCTTTCACTCGTACGTTTCTAAATGTGAAAAATTTCAGTAGGAAGTTGGTAAAGTGGGATGTTCAATAATGTAATTTATCTGTTCTGACGTTTTGTACTATCCGCATTCACGTTAGCATAAATTAAAAATGGGAATGTCATATTTAGTTGTTTCCATCTTTTTAATACTGCCTTGCCCATTCAATATAGAACAACTCCTTAATTACCTTACTTTAATTACTTGTCATAATTTTGCCGCATAAATAAAAATATTGATATTTCTTAAAATTGGGCCATTTGAGAAAAAAATCTTGTTTTGGGGAAAAAGAACTAGTGCTGTTCTTACTGTGGTTTGATCATATTAACACAGTTGAAGGTGTTGTAGCCACCACATTGAGGAGTAACCAAAGACAGTTTCTTCAGAGGGAGATTAGTGCAAGAGTAAAGGATAAGCTGGTTTTCAAAAAATTTGTCTTTTTAAAATGGAAATTTGCATTTAGCAGTTATGATCATCAAAAGACATGTATATTTAAAAGCTTAAGGAGGAATAGGAAAAGGCTTGTCAGATTAATGTCTCTTATTTTTTTAATGTATCAATTACTATTTACTCATTTGTTTTAAAGGGCTGATAACTTCCTTTGACAAAGAGCTAGTATAGCTGTATGACTTTATTTTCTTGAATATATTCCTTTCAGAGCAGGGGGCAAATAGTTGACACCCATGCTATTAATTCATAGTAAATTAGCAAATGAAGATCTGGTTGCCGAAAGTTGGAGAAGTAAAGCATTTATCTTTTTTCTTACCTAAATTCCTAGCTTTGTGCACTTAGTTTTCTTAGTACTTTTGGGGTTAGGATGATTGGGGCCTGCGAACAGCACAGTGTCGTTGAGGAATTTGTGGCAACCTTTCTTAACCTAGTCTTTGTAGAGAATGGAGCCCTGATGTCCTAAGGCACCTATTGTATGCAATTAACTTTTAACAATTAACTTTTTTTTCGTATACGTTTAGAATGATCTAATTGTGTATCATTCTTGGGAAATTTGAGAAAACAGTCACTCAAATAATTTGTGTTTGTTGGTTCAGATGAGGAGCCCCAGTTGAGAAGGATTGGAAGGGAATCAGAGAAATTACCTGTTCCTTTTATATGATGGGAACAAATCCTGGTCGAGACAGGGAGATGGAATATGTTTAGGTAAAAATGCATCTTTCTAGTGGCATTTGCTTTAGTGAGATTTTTACCTATATTTCAGTGGATGGGTTCATCAGGGAAACAATTGGAGCCTGTTTCTCATTGTCTGAGATTTAGAGAGCCAGATGATGAATCTTATTATTTTAAGAATTAGACTTCAATATTCTAAACAGTGACATAATTTTTTGGTATGTGTTATGGGTTAATGTGTTTATTTAGTAACAAACTGTACAGATGTTTGGGCATATATAAAGTAATTCCATCTGAAAATTGAGAAAAGGAATATTTCTGAATTAGTGGAAAGTTCTTACTGTAATTGTATAAAACTGCAATAGTACTTTTTTTTTTATTTGGGAGTCTAGCAACTTGAATTGTTACTAGTTTGTCATAATAAATTACCTAATTGAATGAGATTTTCTATATTGCTTTTGTGTTTTGGTCTCTTTTGGACCTGTATTTTGGCCATATACACTCTTATTTAATTCTCTCTAGAGAGAACTAAAAGAGAGGTGCTTAACCCAGATATTTCAGTTTACAGAAGTTTTGTAGAATTTCCTAGAACTGAATTGTTGGCTATCAGAAGATGATTATAATACATACAGGAATTTCTAGGTAAAGTAGGTTTTTCTTGTTTTTGTTGTTCTTTTCACGCTGCTGAGAGTACTATTAAAGTGAACGAAAGCCTTCTCTTGTCTATCCCTTCTATTTTGAAACCAGTCTTTAAAGGATATTATCGTCTCATATTTAAAAGTTTTGGAGATAGCTTAGGATTTTTTTGGCTTTATTTTATGTCTGCATTTTTTCCACTGTCAAGTTGCTAATGTTCATAAAATCAATTATTATGGGTGGTAAAATAGTCTTTAATGATCCAGCAAGGATGGGGGAGGTAAATCGGACTATAAAAATATACCACAGAATGGAGATTATTTCTGGAGAAATCATGTGGGCTTTTCTTATATCCTTGAGTCTGGAAGTAAAAACGTAAAATGAATTAAGCTGGACAATTAACCTATCCGGTGGTGCTGGATTGCTTTTGACCTCCTCCTAATTGGCTTGAGTTTGTTTGGGTGTGCTCTGTTCATGAGTATTTCAGTAGTCTGATTGTAATTCAGTTGCCTCCAGTTACTTAGGAAAGGTGCTTCCTTACATTGAAGGATGTGGGTTTTCTCTTAAAACTGAATATGTTAAATATAACCTGTATTTCTAGGCAGATTTATTTCTCTTAATCTTCAGGACATATGTAGCTTTTTAAGGTGGTAGATTATGTCCATTATCTCTGTTACTGAATTGTTTTCATTCATTGCTTCTTATCAGTATCTAGTGCCAAAATGTTTGAATTTGGGATATTGTGATTAATCTACTTCCTATTCCTGAATGTTCTTTTATCCAGTTGGAGACTTTTATGGAGTGTGGCAGAAGAGAAATATCTGCTTCTTAAGAAAAATGACGCTTTTAACCTCCCCCCCCCCCCCGTTACCCCTCTAAAAAACAAGAACTCCAGTGGTTAATGTTTCTCACTTGTAATCCCACGTATGTTTAAACACTGTAGGAGACACCTTGTATGCTTTGTTATGCTAAAGTATGGACGCTGTCATGGAAGTTTCTGCTTTGGGAATGTTTCAAAAAGTTCTCTTGACTGCAAGGGAGGAGTGGTTTGTGTTGGGCTGGGCATCATCTGTTATGAGAGCTGCCTGACCTAAGTACTTTTGGTACTTTGCTGGCTGCAAAGCCACTAAGAGTTCTGTTGTTACTAACAGATAGTTAATGAACAGATAGTTGGCTTGGTAACCAGTAAGTAGGTTCTTATTTTATGGTTACCAATACTGTTAACTAGATAACAGCTTTTTCCATGTTTATTATTTATTTTGTGTGTATAAGGAGAATTGCCTTAATATTATATTTATTACATATACTGGGTATATGTACAATTGGGTATATTAGCGAATGGGTTAAAAAAGAAGTATAGGAACTGCCTTGTGTAGCAGAATACTTCCTAAATGTTTTAGTTCTGCATGTACTTGACTTGTATTAACTAATGAGTTAAGTTTGTTCTACACTTACTTAAGTGTTTAGAAATTGGGGAAAATGTGCCTTTTGTATGAACAAAGACTTAAGAAATACCTTAGGTTCTGAGTGTATTAATTTTCTATGCTGCTTATTAACAGATTACTACAAATCAACTGCCTAAAACAACATGTACTTATTATCTTAGAGTTTCTATAGGTTAGGAGTCTGGGTGCAGCTTAACTTGGGTCCTCTGCAAGACTGCAATCAAGGTGTTGCCAGAACTGGGTTGTTATCTGGAGACTTGACTGGGGAAAGGTCTGCTTCCATGCTTCTAAGCTTCCTCGCTGCCTCAGCTGGTTGGCCGAATTCATTTCCTCATGGTTGTTAAGCTAATGGCAGCTTGCTCCTTCGAAGTCAACAAAGGAGAGATTCAAGCAAGATGAGCTGGTGCTACACTGTTATGTCAGTATATACATGTAATCACATAAGGCCCATTGCCTTTGCTGAATTCCATTGGTTAGAAGCAAGTCACAGGTCCTGCTCATACTCAAGGGGAGGGAATGACGGAAAGGTGTAAATATCAGGAGGCAGGAAATATGAGTGACCAACCTAAAATCTGTCTGCCACATTGATTATAGACTTTGGTTGACCAGCTAAACATGCAACTGTTCTAATTTGTTTTTAAACTCATTTTTTATTGACTTTGAAAAAGTTGTA